CCTCAGCAAAAGTGAGGCACTAAGCAACTCAGTGAGACTCTGTGTCTAAATAAAATACAAAATAGGGCTGGGAATGTGGCTCAGTGGTCAAGTGCCCCTTAGTTCAATCCCTTCTACCAAAAAAAAAAAAGCTATCTTTTCTTCAACATATGTTTTGGGCACCATCAATTAGTATGAGATAACTGTATTTATGTGGGTATGTGGGTTTGTCTCTGTGTCTTCTATTCCATTGGTCTTCATGCCAGTTTTGGTGCCAATACCATGATGGTTTTGTTACTATAGCTCTGAAGCATAATTTGAGGGCTGGTATTGTGATGCTTCCTGCTTTGATTTTTCTTGCTGAGGGTTGCATTGGCTCTTCTGGGACTCTTATTTTTCCAAATGGATTTCATAACTGATTTTTCTATTTCTTTCTGTGGAGAACATTATTGAAATTTTGATGGGGATTGTGTTGAATCAGTATAGCACTTTTGGTAGGATGGCCATTTTGATAATATTAATTCCGCCTATCCAAGAACATGAGAGGTCTTTCCATCTTTTCAGTCTTCTTCAATTTCTTTCTTTAGTGTTCTATAGTTTTCATTGTAGAKATCCACCATCTSTTTTGTTAGATCGATTCTGAAGTATTTTATTTTATTTTTTTGGAGATTTTTTGTGAATGGGACAGTTAGCCTAATTTATTTTTCAGCTGATTTATCATTGGAGTACAGAAATGTGATTGATTTATGAGTGTTGATCTTCTCTCCTGCTATTTTGCTGAATTCACACATGAGCTCTAGAGACGTCTGGTTGAGTTTTTTGTGTCTTCTAAATATAAGATTATGTCAGCAGCAAACAGAGATAATTTGAGATTTTTTTCCTATTCATATCTGTTTAATTTCATTAACTTGCCTGATTGCTCTCCTTAGAGTTTCAAGGACTATTTTGGACAGGAGTGAAAAGTTTTTTTTCCACTGAGAATGATGTTGGCTTTGGATATGTCATTTGCTTTTACAATATTGAGGTAATTTCCTTCTATCCCTAGATTTTCTGGTGTTCTAAACATGTTTTAAACATGATGCTTCATGCTGTATTTGTCAAATGCTTTTTCTATATCTATTAAGATAATCATGTAATTCATCCTTAATTATATTTATGTGATGAATCACATTTATTGATTTCTATGTATTGAAACAAMCTTACATCCCTGGGATAAAACCCAGTTGATCATGGTTCAAWATCTTTTAAATGTGTTTTTGCATGTGGTTTTCCAATATTTTATTAAGAATTTTTGCATCTATTTTCATCAAGGATATTGATCATAAATTTTATTTCCTTGATATGTCTTTTCTGATTTTAGTATCAGGGTGATACTGGCTTCATAGAATGAGTTTGGTTATGTTACCCTCTTTTATATTTTATGAGTAATTTGAGGAGGATTGACATTAGTTCTCCTTTAAATGTCTGGTAGAACTTGATTGAGAATTCTTCTGGTACTTGGATTTTCTTTGTTGGGAGGCTTTTGAAAGCTGCTTCATTTTCATTACTTGATATTGATTTGTTTAAATTTTCTATACCTTTATGGTTCTAATTGGGTAGGTCATATGTCTCTAGGAATTTGTCAAGATTTTCAAGATTTTCTTGTTTATTTAAGTATTAATTTTCAAAATAGTTTCATGATCCCTTGGATTTCAGTAGTGTATGTGGTGGTATTTCCTTTTTCATCTCAGGTTTTGTTTGACTTTTCTCCACTCTTTCTTTTGTTTACTTTGTATAAGGTTTTATCAATTTTTTTCCAACTCTTTGTTCCATTGATCTTTTGTGTTATTTTTAAATCTCAAGTTCATTAAATTTAGCTCTGTTTTTAATTATTTTTTTCTGTTGATTTTGGTATTAAGTTGTTCTTCTTTATTTAGAGACTTAAGGTGTAATGTTAGATTATTTATTTGGTATCCTATTCTTTTAATATATAAGCTCAATATTATAAACCTTCCTCTTCAATCTGCCTTTATACTGATCAAGATTTTGGTATGTTATATCACTATTCTTATTAATTTCTATGAATTTTTTTTTTAATTCTCACTGATTTCTTCTGCTATCCATGCATCATTTAAAAGTGTGTTATTTACTCTCCTGCCACCATGGCTGACAAGGAAGCAGCCTTTGAYGATGCAGTGGAAGAACGTGTAATCAATGAGGAGTACAAAATATGGAAAAATAATACCCCTTTTCTTTATGATTTGTTGATGACCCATGCTCTGGAGTGGCCCAGCCTAACAGCACAGTGGCTTCCAGATGTAACCAGACCAGAAGGAAAAGATTTCAGCATTCATCGACTTGTCCTGGGGACACCCACATCAGATGAGCAGAACCACCTTGTGATAGCCAGTGTACAGCTCCCTAATGATGATGCTCAATTTGATGTATCACACTACGACAGTGAGAAAGGAGAATTAGGAGGTTTTGGCTCAGTTAGTGGGAAAATTGAAATAGAAATCAAGATCAAYCATGAAGGAGAAGTAAATAGGGCTCGTTATATGCCCCAGAACCCTTGCATCATTGCAACAAAGACTCCATCCAGTGATGTTCTTGTTTTTGACTATACAAAACATCCTTCTAAACCAGACCCTTCTGGAGAGTGCAACCCAGACTTGTGTCTCCGTGGACATCAGAAGGAAGGGTATGGGCTTTCTTGGAACCCAAATCTCAGTGGGCACTTACTTAGTGCTTTAGATGACCATACCATCTGCCTATGGGATATCAGTGTCATCCCAAAGGAAGGAAAAGTGGTTGATGCGAAGACCATCTTTACAGGGCATACAGCAGTAGTAGAAGACGTTTCCTGGCATCTGCTCCATGAGTCCCTGTTTGGGTCAGTTGCTGATGATCAGAAATTTATGATTTGGGATATTCATTCAAACAATATTTCCAAACCAAGCCACTCAGTAGATGCTCACACTGCTGAAGTGAACTGCCTCTCTTTCAATCCTTATAGTGAGTTCATACTTGCCACAGGATCAGCTGATAAGACTGTTGCCTTGTGGGATCTGAGAAATCTGAAACTTAARTTGCATTCCTTTGAATCACATAAGGATGAAATATTTCAGGTTCAATGGTCACCTCACAATGAGACTATTCTGGCTTCTAGTGGTACTNGGGGTCACATGGGCAGAGCCAAAAAAGTCCCCCAATGAGCAGCTCCGTGGTCTGAAAGGGCAGGGAAACAGCCCAATGAGCATCACTACAGAGGAGCCAATCAGTTGGCAGCTAGAAGTTGGTGGGGCCGCTGTGAGTCAATCATCACCTGTCTACAGTTACCACCAAGTTAATTCCTATCAGTAGATTAATGCACTGATTAGGCTCAACCTCTTGTAACCCAATCATTTCATCTATAAACTCTCTTGCCTTGTTTTACACAGGAGCTTTTGGGGAACTCCTAATATCTAAATCATAATAGTTAATTATTGATGAAAATAAGGACAAAAATTTAATTGACTTAAAATTTTTAAGACATGCAAAATGTCACATTGTTCATTTAATACTATTACTTTTGAAAGCCAAGTAGTTGTATAAAATGTATGGTCAACTAATTATCTTACACTGCCATCGTACAATGTCTTTAGGACTTTTATGATAAAAAGATTATTTGAGCTCTCAATACAACCATGCTTTCTTAAACACCTGTGTTGATGACACAGTGAAGACTCCCAGTATATAGGAATGGCACTGACTTACATGACCTTAAGGTCTCCATTTATGTCCTCTACTGGCTTAATATTCTCTTTTTGGGACTTTTACATAAACACGTAGGGTTCAAACAAGATCTTTTTTAGTATTTTGTTACTCTTTCTCTGGAAATTTCAACTTGAGAAGATAGCTTCCTACTATATCTCATTATTTCAAATCTCGAACTAAATTTGACAAAAGAGGGAAACAAAATTAAGGGCACTAAGATTATCCCCATCCCCAAATTTCTTTCTAGATTTTATATTTACGTAAGTAATATAAAACAGTGGTAGGTCAGTCTCTCTCTCTCTCTCTCTCTCTCTCTCTCTGTGTGTGTGTGTGTGTGTGTGTGTGTGTTTGGTACTGGGGATTGAACCTCATGCATGGTGGTAGGTCTCTGATGTTTAATTGCAAATGAAGTGGGGCTCCAAACTTCAACTGGTTGTTTTTCATTTCTGTTCTTCACCTTCAGTTTTCAGTGGAAGAATGTTAACACACAATCTGTTTTGGCCTCTGTGTTAACTCTTCTAGGCTTTTTCCTAGATAATGAAGGACAAGAACAGTGAATAGCCCATCTGATCCAACATTGTGATAAAGATGATGATACACACTGCCTGTAGTCTAAACACTGAAGTGCAGAGTTATAATCACATCTGACTTGTGGACAGAGCAGTTGTCTTTGTCTTCAATCTCTTCTGGTGTATTGCTGTGAAGTGCTGTCACAATGACTGATAGAGGGGTTGAAGCATTCAGGAGAACGATTCAGTTATAGAGGTAGAAATTGTACCTTACTTGAGGAGCAATCTGTATGCCTATACAGAATAGAAAACCACTCACATGTGAGTGATTTCCAAGTATAAAGGAAGACAGACTGACTGCATTGGAAAATCTCTTTTTACTCCCTTGAGGATGCCCCATATTATACAGGTAAAACTGTAGTCTTTGAATCAAACCTAARTAAAGATGCATGTAGTTTCCACATTAAGATTGGAATAACCATAAAGTAGGTTTTGAGATAATGAGGAAAAATACAAACTCATCAGACACTATAAACAAATGTGTGTGTATGTGTGTAATTTGTTTTTGTTTAACTGGCAGGTTTTCCTACAAGTTAGCTATCTTATGCACCTGTGTTTTTATGTTATTGGTATCTTTAATTTGTGTAACATGAACCAACAGAAAATTACTTGAAAGTTTACCTCCAATTTAAATTTAGTCTGTGACCACCAAGATATCTTTTTCTGGCTTTTAATTTATTAAGAATGAGTCTCAAGGATCCAAGGTTGTGGGCCAAAGGGAGGCAGCATTCTGTGTCGTTCCAAGACCTGGGACTCAAGCTGTGAGAATACTGCTTCTCTGTAAGCAAAATTCCTGCTCTCACATGGGAATCACAGCCACTGTGCCCCTCCAGGGCTCCATGCCTCAGCGTCAGAGTAGGTCTCCCAACTACTCACCCATGCAAGACTACCAGGTACCAGAGCAGGACCATCAACACCCCTGCAGGACTTTCGCTGCCCACATGAGCAGAAGTCACTGTCTCTACTCCCACACAGGACACCTGGCAGCTTTCCACATGCAGGAACTCCAGCTACCACGCCTGTTCCCCTGGTCACCACTATCTTGGGACTATGCAGCAGCGGAGATAGTTCCCTATGTGTAGTAGCCTGCCTGCACCTGGAAACTTCACACAGGCTCTAAAGTCAGCAGATAGCCACACACTGCATGAGTTTGTCTCTGAATTCATCCTCCAATGCCATTGCTCGGCTCTCCCCTCACATGACCAGACAGCCCACCATTGAAAGCAGGAACCTCCATCTTGGGCCACCTTCATCACCATCTTCAGTATGGGGAAACTCCCTTTTGGAACTCTGGCTGGCCAAGTACCCARTTTCTAACTCCCCCTTCTCACCATCAGCAACTACCCTGGCACAGTGACACCCTGGTTAACTTCAGCATCCTGAGGACAGAGATACCAGCTAACAACAGATGACCCCACCTATTGAATTAGAAGGGAAGCAGGAAAAACAATGATTTCCAACCAAAACAATCCTATTTCTTCCTTCAAATTTTTCCCCTTTTCCCTCTATATTCTCCTGCCCTCACATCCCCAAAATATGTGAAACCAAGTACTTTGCATGAATTAGGATTTTGAGGACCAGGATGTCTGAATAGTATATTACAGCTGTGAAAATATGTATATATTTACATATATAATATATACATATTATATGTATATATTATATGTACATATTATATAATATATATATAAATTCTTTTTTCTCATCAATTTCTACTATATTTTAATATTTTTTATTTTTCTCAATGTATATGTGTGTTTGTTTTATGTAATCTAGTGTCTTCCCACTTACTTGTCTAACCAAAATTACTTGTCTACCTCTCCCTTCTTCTGCTACTAATCCTCTCTAGATTTGTCTTTACACTTCCTAAGATATAACAACTCTGTATCCTCACCTCTTACCTCCTCATCATATCATCCTACACCTCACCCCCAGTTCTTTGTCTACCATCAGAAACTGTAAACCCTTTTACAAACCTACTGAATATATTGTAGATAATAATTGAATTCACTATTTCTGTATTGAACCAAACTGTAAATGTCTTAATAGCAAACATTTGTTTTTAGGGTGTATACTGTTATATTGGGATCTGATAACATCGTCCTATACCTCAAAGGAGACGTATTGGATCCCTACAGGGGCATTATAAACCTATAGGGTAAAAACAGTAACATCTCTGGACCACAGTGCTAGGAAGGGAAGACACACAAGCAATATGAAAAGACAAGGGAAGAAAGTGCCCTAAACGTGTCAAAATACCACATTATTAGAATCCAGGGCAAGAACAGAGAAGAAATGACAGAGAAGGAGTTCAGAATGTACATAATTAAAATGTTCTGTGAATTAAAGGATGATATAAGAGAGGAAATACAGGCAGCAAGAGATCATTTTGACAAMGAACTACATAAACAAATACAGGAAGCAGAAGATTACTTCAATAGGGAGATAGAGATCCAAAAAACAAAACAAAACAAAGCAAAAACAACCCAACCAACCAAACAACTAAAAACAAACAAACCGAACCAACCAACCAACCAAACAAAAACCCAATCAGAAATCCTTGAAATGAAAGAAATAATAAACCAAAATAAAAGTTTAATTAAAAACATCACCAACAGATTAGACCACTTGGAAGACAGGACCTCAGGTAGTGAAGACAAAATATATAATCTTGAAAATAATGTATACAACATAGTGAAAATGATAAGAAACCACAAGCAGAACACTCAAGAAATATGGGATAATATAAACAGTCCAAATTTAAGAGTTATTGGGATAGAGGAGGGAATAGAGTTTCAAACCAAAGGAATGAGCAATCTATTCAATGAAATAATATCAGAAAATTTTCCAAACATGAACAAATTGGAAAACCAAATCAAAGAGGCTTACAGAACACCAAATGTACAAAATTACAACAGATCCACACCAAGGCATATTATAATGAAAATGCCTAACATACAGAATAAGGAGAGAATATTAAAAGCTAAGAGAGAAAGAAATCATATTAAAAATAGGGGGAAACCCATTAGATTATGAGCAGATATTTCAACCCAGAAACTGAAAGTAGAATATACTGGAACAACATATATCAAGCTCTGAAAGAAAATGGATGCCAATCAAGAATCTTATATCCAGCAAAATTAAGCTTTAGATTTGATGATGAAATAAAAAGCTTCCATGATAAACAAAAGTTAAAAGAATTTACAACTCAAAACCTGTACTATAAACATTCTCAGCAAAATATTCCATGAAGAGGAATTGAAAAACAACAATGAAAATCGGCAGAGGGGGAGGTATTACACTAAAAGAAAAAACTAATCAAAGGAGAAACCAAGTCAATTTAAATAAACAAACCAAAAAACCAAAACCAACCAAACAAAAAACGAAACCAAAATGGCTGGAAATACAAATCATGTCTCAATAATAACCCTGAATGTTAATGGCCTAAACTCACCAATCAAAAGACATAGACTGGCAGATTGGATTAAAAAAAAAAAAGATCCAACAATACGCTGCCTCGAAGAGACTCATCTCCTAGGAAAAGACATCCACAGACTGAAGGTGAAAGGTTGGGAAAAATCATACCACTCTCATGGATAGCAGAAGCAATCAGGGATCTCCATCCTCATAGCCAATAAAGTAGACTTCAAGCCAAAGTTAATCAAAAGGGATAAAGAAAGACATTTCATACTGATTAAGGGAAGCATTCATCAACAAGATATAATAATAATAAATTTATATGCCCGAAACAATAGAGCATCCATGCTCATCAAACAAACTCTTCTCAAGTTCAAGAGTCAAATTGACCACAACACAACAATTCTGGTTGATTTTAGCACACCTCTTTTACCACTGGATAGAACATCCAAACAAAAGCTGAACAAAGAAACCATAAAACTCAATAATACAATCAATAACTTAGACTTAACTGACATATATAGAATATTTCATCCTTTAACGAGAGAATACACTTTCTTCTCAGCAGCACAAGGAGCCATCTCTAAAATAGACCATATAGTATGCCATAAAGCAACTCTTAGCAAATATAAAAAAAAGTAGAGATAATACCCTGCATTATATCAGTTCATAATGGAATGAAATTTGAAATCAATGATAAAATAAAAAATAAAGGCTACTCAAACACCTGGAGACTAAATAATATGCTACTGAATGAACACTGGGTTGCAAAAGCCATTAAGGAGGAGATAAAAATTTCTTAGTGGTGAATGAGAACACAGATAAAATATATCAATCTCTGGGACACTGTGAAGGCAGTACTAAGAGGAAAGTTCATTGCATGGAGTTCATTCCTTAAAAGAAGAAAAAAATCAACAAGTAAATGACTTAACATTACCTCCCAAAGACCTAGAAAAAGAAGAGCAAATCAACACCAAAAGCAGTATAAGACAGGAAATAATTAAAATCTGAGCTGAAATCAATAAAGTTGAAACAAAAGAAATATTTGAAATAATTGACAAAAAGTTGATTCTTTGAAAAAATAAGTAAAATTGACAGACCCTTAGCCATGCTAATGAAGAGAAAGAAGGAGAGAGAAAAACTCAAATTACTAACATATGTAGTGAGAAAGGAAATATCACAACAGACACTACAGAAATAAGAAGATAATTAGAAATTATTTTGAAAACTTGTACTCCAATAAAATAGAAAATATCGAAGGCATCGACAAATTTCTAAAGTCATATGATTTGCCCAAATTGAATCAGGAATGATATACACAATTTAAACAGGTCAATTTCAAGCTACGAAATAGAAGACACCATCAGAAGCCTACCAACCAAGAAAAGCTGAGACAAGATGGATACACAGCCAAATTCTAAAAGACCTTTAGAGAGAAAAAAAATCAATACTCTTCAATTTATTTCAGGAAATAGAAAAAGAGGCAGCACTTCCAAACTCATTCTATGAGGCCAACATCACCCTGATTCCAAAACTAGGAAAAGACACATCAAAGAAAGTAAATGTCAGAC